TGGGGAGAGATAGCATGGGGAGAAATGCCAGATATAGGTGATGAGGAGGAAGGCAGCAAATCACACTGCCACGTGTGTACCTATGCAACTATCTTCCATGTTCTTCACTTGTACCGCAAAACCTAAAATGCAATAATAAAATAAATTTAAAAAAACAACAAAAAAAGAATGACCACGTGAAGGAACTGAGTGCTTTGTCACTTGGCCTGTTTGCGGTTTAATGGTTGATGAGAAAATGCACCTGGAAGAGACACTGTCTGTAGAATGGCTTCCAATTCCAAGGGTCACAACCTCGTGATCTATTGGCCAGCAGTTGGATAGGACTGGTGTAGATGAATATCAGGCCACAGCCCAAACTTACAGAGCAGCTGCAAGGACAAGGGGAAAATGTATTTTCAACCATAATGACCTACATTTAGTAGATACATCGGAGCTCATGCAAAAGGACATCAATGGGCCTCTGCCTCCTTGCAATAAGGGAGATAATGATGACAGCCAAACCTGGGTTCCAGTCCTGGTCCTGCCGGTTCCTGTCTGACTTTGGCCTTGAAAGTCAGTTTGTGGAGACCATTCTTCCTTCAAAGGGTGATACCTGGTAGGTTCTTGGGAACTGAATTAGGTTTCCACTCCTGAGAGTGGGTGTCTGTAGACAGGCACGTATGCTGTTCTGAAATCATCTGTTGCTATCTGTCTCTGTTGGAGGTGCTTCCAGTGATGTGTGATTGTGTCTTACTTATCTCAGTATTTTTGCCCAGCATGGGATCTTACATAACATACATGGGCAGTCAGTCAATGTTAGAACTGGCTGGGTTTTAGGCTGGAAGACAGTGGAAATATACAAGCAAAGGCACAGTGTCTTGAATTTACACTTGGCCTGCAGCAGTTTTCAAATGAAAGGAGCCCCCTGCTTAGGAGGGCCTTTTGAATTGAGCCCACTGTATAGTTTAATAGTGAACCTGAGGGTGATGGCTAGACTATGGGGGCGTGCTCTTTAAGTACAGAGGGAAGACTTGGTAAAGACATAAAAACATAGAGAAAAAGGAGCTAGACGGCTGAATTCAAAAAAATGATTCATGTGGTTTTGGCAGAATCTGAAATAAGAGGCCTTCGAGATTGACTCTTCATAAAGAATGCAAATTCAGCTGGGCTCAGTGGCTCACACCTGTAATCCCAGTACTTTGGTAGGCCGAAGCGAGCAGATCACCTGAGGTCAGGAGTTCAAGACCAACCTGGCCAACATCGCAAAACCGCGTCTCTTCTAAAAATGCAAAAATTAGCCAGATGTGGTCGAAGGAGGGGCACCTGTATTCCCACTACTTGAGAGGCTGATGCAGAAGAATCGTTTGTTTTTTTTATATTGCATTTTAGGTTTTGGGGTACATGTGAAGAACATGCAAGATAGTTTCATAGGTACACATGTGGCAATATGATTTGCTGCCTTTCTCCCCTTCACCTATATCTGGCATTTCTCCCCATGCTATTTCTCCCCAACTCCCCACCCCATATTCCCCCCAACAAACCCCAGTGTGTAGTGCTCCCCTCCCTGTGTCCATGTGTTCTCATTGTTCAACACCCGCCTATGAGTAAGAACATGCAGTATTTTATTTTCTGTTCTTGTGTCAGTTTGCTGAGAATGATGTTCGCCAGGTTCATTCATGTCCCTACGAAGGACAGGAACTCATTGTTTTTGATTGCTGCACAATATTCCATGGTGTATATGTGTCACATTTTCCCTGTCCAGTCTATCATCAATGGGCATTTGGGTTGATTCCAGGTCTTTGCTATTGTAAACAGTGCTGCAATAAACATTCGTGTGCATGTGTCCTTATAGTAGAATGATTTATAGTCCATTGGATATATACCCAATAATGGGACTGCTGGGTCAAATGGAATTTCTATTTCTAGGTCCTTGAGGAATCGCCACACTGTCTTCCACAATGGTTGAACTAATTGACACTCCCACCAGCAGTGTAAAATGTTCCTATTTCCCCACATCATCTCCAGCATCTGTTGTCCCCAGATTGTTTAATGATCACCATTCTAACTGGTGTGAGATGGTATCTCAATGTAGCTTTGATTTGCATTTCTCCAATGACCAGAAATGATGAGCATTTTTTCATATGTTTGTTGGCCTCCTGTATGTCTTCTTTTGTAAAGTGTCTGTTCATATCCTTTACCCACTTTTGAATGAACTTGTTTGTTTTTTTCTTGTAAATCTGTTTGAGTTCTTTGTAAATTCTGGATATCAGCCCTTTGTCAGATGGGTAAACTGCAAACATTTTTTTCCATTCTGTTGGTTGCCAATTCACTCTAATGACTGTGCCTTTTGCTGTGCAGAAACTGTGGAGTTTGATTAGGTCCCATTTGTCTATTTTGGCTTTTGTTGCCAATGCTTTTGGTGTTTTGGTCATCAAGTCCTTGCCTACTCCTATGTCCTGAATGGTTTTGCCTAGGTTTTCTTTTATGGTTTTTATGGTGTTAGGTCTTATGTTTAAGTCTTTAATCCATCTGAAGTTAATTTTAGTGTAAGGTGTCAGGAAGGGGTCCAGTTTCTGCTTTCTGCACATAGCTAGCCAGTCTTTCCAACACCATTTATTAAACAGGGAATTCCTTCCCCATTGCTTGTTTTTGTCATGTTTATCCAAGATTGTATGGTTGTCAATATGTTGTGCTGCCTCTGATGCCTCTGTTCTGTTCCATTGGTCTATATCTCTGTTTTGAAACCAGTACCATGCTGTTTTAATTACTGTAGCCTTGAAGTATACTTTGAAGTTCGGTAGTGTGATGCCTCACACTGTGTTTTTTTTTTTTTTTAACTTGGAATCAACTTGGCTATGAGTGCTTTCTTTTGGTTTCATATGAAGTTTAAGGCTTTTTTCTTCAGTTCTGTGAAGAAGGTCATTGGTAGCTTGATGGGGATAGCATTGAATCTGTAAATTACTTTGGTCAGTATGGCCATTTTCACGATATTAATTCTTTTTAACCATGAACATGGAATGTTCCTTCATCTGTTTGTGTTCTCTCTTATTTCATTGAGCAGTGGTTTGTAGTTCTCCTTGAAGAGGTCCTTTATGTTCCTTGTTAGTTGTATTTCTAGGTATTCTATTGTAGCAATTGTGAATGGCAGTTCGTTCTTGATTTGGCTCTCTTTAAGTCTGTTATTGGTGTATAAGAATGTGGGAAATAACTAAGATCAGAGCAGAACTGTAGGAGATAGAGACATAAAAAACTTCTCAAAAAATCAATAAATTCAGGAACTGGTTTTTCAAAAAGATCAACAAAATAGACAGACCACTAGCCAGATTAATAAAAAAAAAAAAAGAGAGAGAATAACCAAATAGATGCAATAAAAAATGATAAAGGGGAAATCACCACAGATTCCACAGAAATTCAAACCATCATCAGAGAATATTACAAACAACTCTATGCACATAAACTAGTAAGCCTGAAAGAAATGGATAAATTCCTGGACACCTGTGTCCTCCCAAGCCTAAACCAGGAAGAAATCAAAACCCTGTATAGACCAATAGCAAGATCTGAAGTTGAGGCAGCAATTAAGAGCCTACCACACAAAAAAAGCCCAGATCCAGATGGGTTCACAGCCGAATTTTACAAGGCACACAAAGAGAAACCGTTACCATTACTTCTGAAACTATTCCAAATAATCCAAAAAGAGGGAATCCTTCCCAAATCATTTTATCAGACCAACATCATCCTGATACCAAAGCCCAGAAGAGACTCAACAAGAAAAGTAAACTTCAGGCCAATATCTATGATGAACATAGATGCAAAAATCTTCAATAAAATACTGGCAAACTGATTCCAACAGCACATCAATAAGTTTATCCACCATGATCAAGCAGGATTCATCCTGGGGATGCAAGACTGGTTCAACATACGCAAGTCTATAAATGTAATTCACCACATAAACAGAACCAAAGACAAAAATCACATGATTATCTCAATTGATGCAGAGAAGGCATTTGACAAAATTTAACAGCCCTTTATGCTAAAAACCCTCAATAAACTCGGTATTGTCAGAACATATCTCAAAATAATAAAAGCTATTTATGACAAACCAACAGCCAATATCATACTGAATGGGAAAAACCTGGAAGCGTTCTCTTTGAAATCTGGAACTAGACAAGGATGCCCTCTTTCATCACTCCTATTCAATATAGTACTGGAAGTTCTAGCCAGAGCAATCAGGCAAGAAAAAGAAATAAAATATATTCAAATAGGAAAGTAGGAAGCCAAATTGTCACTATTTGCAGACGACATGACAGTATATCTAGAAGACCCCATCATCGTAGCCCAAAATCTTTTGAAACTGATAAGCAACTTCATCAAAGTCTCAGGATACAAAATAAATGTACAAAAATCAGAAGAATTGCTTTAACCCAGGAGACAGAGGTTGCAATGAGCTGAGACTGCACTACTGCCCTCCAGCCTGTGCAACAGAGCAAGGCTCTGTCTCAAAAAAACAAAACAAACAAAAAGAATGAAAGTTCAACAAAGACTTAAGTGGCAGAGACTGTCCTAGAAGCCGTCTCATGAGTTGATTCATTTTACTGTCCCAGTACCCCTGATGTTCGTTTCCCCTGTTCCCTTTCACAGCTGTGAAAACTGCAGCCATGGAGATGAAGTCCTGTGTCTAGAGGCTCTGTCCAGTCACAGAGCCAGGTTATGCCCCTCATCACTAAGGACACTCTGTTTTTGCGGGTGGCCAGGACCAGGCCCTTTCCCTACGGCAGCTCTTTTCCAGGGCAGCTCTGGGAGCTTAAGGTCTCTGCACAGGCACTGGCACCCAGTGCTGGTCTGTGCTTGGGAAATGGGATGACAACCAGTCACCAGAAAACAAAGGCACAGAATGAAGCAAAGGAACGAAATGGGACCATGAGAAGCTTCATTCCTGTTTACCCAGAAGTTCTGCTCATTATGGCCAGGCCGAGGTGGGTGTGGAGGGCTGCTGGATTTGGCAACCAGATGGGTTCTGAAGGGCTTGCAGTGGGGCCAGCCCCACTGTTCATTTGTTGGATAACCTTGGGTGGGTTATTTCACTGCCCTTACCTTTGATATTAATAGAAACAGGATGACATAGGGTCAGAGAGGTTAAATAATTTACCCACATGGCTTCTAGCTGGAATCCAGTGCTTAAAAGTTCACTTTAGTGGCTCACACCCCTAATCCCAGCACTTTGGGAGGCTGAGGCAGGCAGATCAGCTGAGGTCAGGAGTTCGAGACTAGCCTGGCTAACATGGTGAAACCCCATTTCTACTAAAAATACAAAAAATTATCCAGGTGTTGTAGCACATGCTACTCAAGAGGCTAAGACAGAAGAATCACTTGAACCCAGGAGGCAGAGGTTTCACTGGGCCAAGACTGCACCATTGCACTATAGCTTGGGCAACAAGAGCAAAACTCCATCTCAAAAACAAAAGGAAATCACAAAAGTTCGCTTTATTGCCTTTCTGTGGCCGAACACCTGCTGGGTTCCAGGCTCTGGGGATACACGAGGTGAACGAGACACATGGTTGCTCCCTGTGCAGTATGGTGATTTCTCGGACCTCCTATTCCTCCTTATCATTTCTGTTTAAGCCTGAGAAAGTCCGGTGCTTTTAAGAATGTGTGTGGTTAGATTTGGCTCACCTGGGTATCCAGGCCAATCTCCCCATCTCAAACCCCTTGCTAATCCCACCTGCAAAGTCCCTTTTGCTACATAAGGTGACATATTCAGAGGTTCTCAGGATTAGGGCATGGACATTACTGTGTGGGGATGGACAGTGTGCCTACCTAGTCAGCCCTCTAGTCCCTGAAGATGTTTGTTCATCCCCAATACAAAATACATCCACCCTGCTCCAATGCCTCATCCCATTTTAACATCAACTCAGGAGTCCAAAATCTGCTCTAAATCTCATCACCTACAACACCTCAATCTGGCATGGGGGAGGCTCTGGGGATGACCCATCCTGTGCAGTGCCTCTTCCTCTGTGAACCTGGAACACACTAAACCAGTTACCTGGCCCTAAAGTGTAGTGAGTGGCCATCCAGAGGAATATAATCTAGTTCTGTCCCTGATCCAAGGGACCTAATATGTGCTATGGGCAAGAAAGATAAAAAAGAAACAAACAGGCTATACACCCAGAAATACCAGACCCCTAAGCCTCCCTGGTCCTGTGTGACCAGGGAAAGGAGTTTCTTCAAAGGGTCTGTCGGCACCTAATTCCATGTTCTGTGAGCTTTGGAGAAGGCCAAGCTAGACACTCCTTCCACTGGTATTGCTCATTTTAGAAAATGAGTCAGGCCAGGTGCAGTAACTCACACCTGTCATCCCAGAACTTTGGGTGGCCAAGGCGGGCAGATCTCCTGAAGCCAGGAGTTCATGACCAGCCTGCCACACATGGCAAAACCCTGTCTCTACTAAAAATACAAAGATTAGCCAGGCGTGATGGTACACCTCTGCAGTCCCAGGTACTCAGGAGGCTGAAGCAGGAGAATTGCTTGAACCCAGGAGGCAGAGGTTGCAGTGAGGTGAGATCATGACCCTGCACTCTAGCTTAGGCCACAGAGTGAGACTCTGTCTCAAGAAAAAAAGAGAGTCAGAGTCAGGGCCTTCCCTGGTGTCTTCAATAAGACACCTGTGAATTACTTGCAGGTGAAAATTTTCCCAGAGCACAACAGCCTGGTTGTCCTGCATGTAGGACTCTGTCATGTAGCTAATTATCAGCTCCACCTGGGCTGTTTTTACCTGGTCCCTACCCATATCTTCAATTAGGATCCACCTGCTGGGGGCTCAAGAAAGTCTAAGCTCTTAGAAATCTCTCAGGTGAATCTCGTTATCAAGCAGGCTTGGCAGCCACAGATCTACAGCTTTCTGGCCCAGAGACACCTGGCACACAGGAGGGGTCAGAGCTGCCCGTGATACTGGTTTTGAACTGGTGTAAGGCTTTCTCGAGTAGGGACCCTGGAGCCCAGGGGACCAAGACCAAGAGGTCCCTGCCTGCCCCAGGCTTCTGAGGAGGAGAAGAAAGGAAGGCTGGAAAAGCCCATGTTTAGGAATAGAGCTGCTCTACCTCCTGGACATCCAGGGCCATCCTTGATACTGGGCTGTTGCAAGGTAATGATATCAAGTTCCCTTTTTAGAAAGCCCTGTGACTGGGTGCAGTGGCTCATACCTATAATCTCAGCACTTTGGGAGGCCAAAGCAGGCAGATCACCTGACAGGTTAGGTGATCGAGACCAGCCTGGCCCTCATGGTGAAACCCTGTCTCTATTAAAAATATAAAAATTAGCCAGATGTGGTGGTGTGTGCCTATAATCCCAGCTACTCGGGAAGCTGAGGCAGGAGAGTCGCTTGAACCCAGAAGGCATAGGTTACAATGAGCTGAGATTACTCCATTACACTCCAGCCTGGGTGTCAGAGTGAGATTCCATCTCAAAAAAAAAAAAAGTGAGCCCTTTTACAGAAAACTATTAAGTAAACAATAGAATGGTGGTGCCTGAGTGACTGGTGTGTGGGTACTTGCTTTTCCTTGATGTTCTGGAGTAGAGCTGCACTCTCTAATTGATTGTCAGCAGCCTCATGGGTCTATGGAGTACTTGGAATGTGCTGGTGTGACAGGCAGAGTTGCCAAACACAGTAAATAAAAATTTAGGATGCCTCCTCCATCAGTGTGGGCTGTGCACAGTGACTTCCTTCCAGAATGGGAGGGGGATAAAAGAGTAACTTAACAGTGGCAAAACCTGACAGACTGCCCCAGACAGCCAGCCAAGGTTAACATCAAGTGATAAATCATGTTAATAGCATATCTGGGTAAGATACCTGAGGCCCTAGGGGCCAGGACTTAAAAGCTTCAAATTCCACAGCCACTCCTCTTCTCACTGCCCTCACATGGCTCCTGCAGAGAGTAGTGACAGTGCCCTAAGGGACCTTTAGGAACCTGATGGAACCACAGGAGGTCTCTAGGAGGCCTGGAGAGGCATGTGAGGACTTGACATTTTCAATAGGTACGACAGCCAGGGTTTGTGCTTGAGACCTCTGGTCAGAGCTGGCAATGCTGCGTAATGAATTGCCACAAATTTAGGAGCTTAATAAAACAAATATATTGGCCAGGTGCAGTGACTCACACTTGTAATACCAGCACTTTGGGAGGCCAAGGCAGGCAGATCACCTGAGGTCGGGAGTTCGAGACCAGCCTGACCAACATGGATAAATCTTGTCTCTACTAAAAATACAAAAAATTAGCTGGGTGTGGTAGTGCATGCCTTTAATCCCAGCTACTTTGGAGGCTGAGGAAAAAGAATCGCTTGAACCTAGAAGGTAGAGGTTGCAGTGAGCCAATATCTTACCACTGCCCTTCAGCCTGGGTGACAAAGCAAGACTCCATCACAAGAAAAGAATAGCCTTGTTAAATTTCTCCCATGTGTTGATGCACTTGCTGTAATATTTATTCCTGCTATTATGAATCACCTGCTCCCAGGGCTGCCCTGCTTATTGCGAGACATCTTCTGTTTTCCTAAATCTGAGATAGTGTTTTCCCTGTCTTTACCACATTCTCCGCCTCTCCGGCTGGTGTCATGGCCCTTTAAGGAGAGTGAGCACATTGGCTCTGAGATCTTGGTCTCACCAGTTTGGCAACAGGCGCCGACTTGGCATGAGAAATAAATGTTAGTGGGAAAAATCTTTTTTTTTTTTTTTTGAGGAGTCTTGCTCTGTTGCCAGGCTGGAGTGCGATGACACAATCCCAGCTCACTGCAACTTCTGCCCTCCAGGTTCAAGCGATTCTCCTGCATCAGCTTCCCAAGTAGCTGAGACTACAGGCACGTGCCACCACGCCCAGCTAATTTTTGTATTTTTTAGTAGATATGGGGTTTCATTATGTTGGCCAGGATGGTATTGATCTCTTGACCTTGTGATCTGCCCGCCTCAGCCTCTCAAAGTGCTGGGATTACAGGTGTGAACCACCGCACCCAGCCAGGAAAAGTCTTTTTAAAAATGCACATATATAGTGAAATGCATATCCCAATGCAAATATCATTGCACCTGTTGATGTGTGTCTTAAAAAGCCTGAGATAGGGAAATTTGGCAGGTGGAAGTTACTTTCCAACTCCTTTCTCATAGCATGGCACATGGAAGAGAAGATTTTGGCTTTAGAACTTCACTGTAAGTATCCGTTTATTCCATGGTCATAGGCCTTTAGTACCAAATTTACTTGAAAACCTTGTGAAATTATTTATTCAGAATGAGGAATCTTGGGTAATGAAAAAACAACCAGCCAGTTTTGCAAAAACTCCAACATGGGTGGTTTGTAACTAATTGGAAAAATATGTCTCATCTCAGTTGATTTAATCCTTTTTGCAGTGTTGGGGGCCTTAAGAGTTCCCAGAAGGTTTAAGGAGCATAATCAGCTCCCAAGGTGGTCAGCACAGTGACAAAAATGGACAAAGGGCTCTGTCTGCATCTGAGGGTCCTTCAGTCATGACCAGCTCTGTCTAGGGAGTAAATGTCTGTCCTCAGCATTCCTGGCTATGGCAGGGGCATAAGGTTGGGAGAGCAGAGTGTGGGCACTTGTTCTGGCTGGAAACTTAGCCTTTGAAACAGGTTCCAGAGACAGAATTTGAGACCCAAACAGGAAAAGGAGATGGTCAGTGTTGATCCTCTCAGAGCAAATGGTCCTGAGCTGTCTGATTATAAGTGCAGGGTTGGGTCCTTACATACTTTTACAAAGTTCAGAGACACGAAAGTCAGTAACCCCACTTTCTCTTCCTCATTGGAGTTCTCTGGAAAAGAGTGTTCCCAGCAACAGGTGATCTGATGAGGTCACGGCCCTACAAGTGTCCTTAAGAGAAAAAGCTCTGTCAGCAGAGGGAACCTCAGCCCCAGCTGATCACACAGGCTACACTCGGCAGAAATCTGCAGACACCAACAGTCTGCCCTAAGGCTCCCAAGTCAGAAAGGTGGTCTGTCCCGGTCCTGGCTTTGCTAGCCAGACTCAGTCCCTGGATTCATCTCTTGGGGGGCTGATGCAATGTTGTTTGTGAGATGGAGCAAATGGCATTGCTTCTATCCCCATCAGGGTGACATCAGGATAAAATTCAACACGGGAAGTGCTCTATCCCCACCCTCATGGACCAAGAGGTGATGCTATTAGAATTACATGGGTTTGTGGTTTCCCCTTACTGTTTCCACTTGTTTCCTAAAATGCTGCAAGAGGCTTTGCAGGAAAGGAAGGGTCTGTAAGATGCCTGAGTGCAGCTGGGAATGGCTGTTCCCAGTTAACGAGGCTGATTGAATCCCAGGGTGAGTTGGCTGGATAGTGGGTTTGAACCACCACAACCACTGAGGCACAGCTGACCCACTGCCAACCATCCTGCAGATGCTACCATTCATTGCTCATGCCTGGGAGATGTTCCAGCATTGACCAAAAGTGTTGCTGGGTCTTGTCCTGCTCAGAACAGGCCACTGTAGAGTGATTTATTGTCATACTCTAAGGACAGATCTGGGTCCTGTGCCTCCCAGGGACCCTGAACTCAGAATGCCCATGACAGAACCCCAGCCCATGGGCACAGCCCCTCTTGTTAGTATTATTTATGCACTTATATGAAATGCACCCACTCCTGAAGAGGGGGACAGCCAGTGATTAAAAGTTGAGGGCAAATCACCAGGCTGTTTCAGGTTCCATTAGGGAATGGCTCTGAGAGGGTTACATTAGAGCAAGGCAAAGGTCTTTCTGTTGGAGGGGCTCTGTGCCTGGCCAGCCCCTTACTTTAAATCCCGGCCTACTCCAGCCACCCAAGAATCTTTAAAGTGGCTCTGAAGTAGGAACTGCCACTTAATTTGCAGGGATCAGCACAAAATGAAAATCAATAATTTTCAGAAATTAAGATTCAAGTGGGCGAGGTGCAGTGGCTCATGCCTGTAATCCCAGCACTTTGGGAGGCCAAGACAAGTGGATCACGAGGTCAGGAGTTTGAGACTAGCCTGGCCAACAGGGTGAAATCCTGTCTCTACTAAAAATACAAAACTTATCTGGGCATGGTGGTGGGCACCTGTAATTCCAGCTACTCAGGAAGCTGAGGCAGGAGAATCGCTTGAACCCAGGAGGTGGAGGTTGCAGTGAACCAAGATCATGCCATTGCACTCCAGCCTGGGCGACAGTGCGAGACTATGCCTCAAAAAAAAAAAGAAAAAAAATGATTCTGGCCGGGCGCGGTGGCTCAAGCCTGTAATCCCAGCACTTTGGGAGGCCGAGGCGGGTGGATCACGAGGTCAAGAGATCGAGACCATCCTGGTCAACATGGTGAAACCCCGTCTCTACTAAAAATTACAAAAAATTAGCTGGGCATGGTGGCGCGTGCCTGTAATCCCAGCTACTCAGGAGGCTGAGGCAGGAGAATTGCCTGAACCCAGGGGGCGGAGGTTGCGGTGAGCCGAGATTGCGCCATTGCACTCCAGCCTGGGTAACAAGAGCGAAACTCTGTCTCAAAAAAAAAAAAAAAAGAAAGAAAAAAAATGATTCAAGCAGCAGAGCATTCAAGCAAGTGTTAGGGATGCTTCTGAGCACAGGGCCCTGGCTGCATAGTTTGTACACTGGACCAGGTCTGGAGAGAGTACAAGGCAGGCAGCTGGCCTGCACTCTGTGGGTGAACTGAGTCACTCTGCCCTTTGTGGGGGTTGATGGGGATGTTTTCTAAGGCTGTTGGCCTGGGCAGGACTGATGACATGAGCAGGGCTTTCCCTGGTCTGGTCTGAATATGATATACTAAGACAAGTTGAAGGGAGGGGGAGTGGATCGGGGTGCTCCAGGGAGCATCATCTCTGTACAAGGGGAAGTCCCTGAGCTTGGACACATGACTTAATCATCTGTCCCAGGGTTTAGAGCAAAATCCAGAAAGTCAGACAATGATGCACTGAAACTATCACTATCCAAGTTAGCATTTTCCAGTATCATTTAAAAATGTTTTATAGATAAGAGGTCTTGCTGTGTTGGCCAGGATGGTCTCAAACTCTTGGCCTCAAGTGATCCTCCTGCCTTGGCCTCCCAAGGTGTTGGGATTACACTCAGGAGCCACTGTCCCTGGTCTCCAACACTGTTTTAAAATTTTTGATATATCTGTGATTTTTGGACTATACCTGTTTTGGCACTTCCATTAGAGAAAATTTACCTGGCCAGGCGAAGTAGCTCACACCTGTAATCCCAGCACTTTGGGAGGTCAAGGTGGGCAGATCACATGGTGTTTTTTCTGTGAGAATTTGAGACCAGTTTGGACAACATGATGAAACCCCGCCTGTACTAAAAACACAAAAATTATCCAGGCATGGTGATGGGTACCTGTAAACCAGGCTACTCAGGAGGCTGAAGCAGGAGAATCTCTTGAACCCACGAGATGGAGATTGCAGTGAGCTGAGATTGTGCCACTGCACTTCTGCCTGAGCCACAGAAGAAGACTCTGTCTCCAAAACAAAAACAAAACAAAAATTTCAAAAGCAGATTTTTGTCGCTGCCAGCTGACCTTACTAATCACTAACCATGGGTGTACAAGGACAAAAGAAATGAGGGAAAGAGAATTTATGCCTTATTTTCTTTGCTTTTGACTTTAAGCCCCATACATTCCTGCAAATGCTTTGGTTGGGTGGGAACAGATAAAAGTTTCTCTGGTTGGATGGATAGAAGAGGAAAGGAGGAAGTTTGCAGAAACTGAAAGAGGACATTTTTGGGGGAGAGATAAAGAAATCTTTTGTTTTATTACAAAACCAAAATATCATTTGCAGTGCCTTCCTTCTCCTACCAGTCGTTTAAGAAATTGACATGTAATTCACATACTACAAAATGCAGCAATTTAAAATGTAGCATTCTCTGGTATTTGTTTGTTTGTTTTTGAGACGGCATCTCACTGTCACCCAGGCTGAATATATGGTGTAATCTCGGTTCACAGCAACCTGCGCCTCCCAGATTCAAGCCATTCTCCCAAGTCAGGCTCTTGAGTAGCTGGGCTTAAAGGCACCCACCATCGTGCCTGTATAATTTTTGTATTTTTAGTAGAGACAGGTTTCACCATGTTGGCCAGGCTGGTCTTGAACTTCTGACCTCAGGTAATCTGCCCACTTCAGCCTCCCAAATTGATGAGATTACAGGCCTGAACCACTGCACCAACCTCATATTCTCAGTTTTTAATTGTTCCATCAAAGAAGTAGGAAGCCCACATATTATCTATTTATCTGATATTAATAAAGCTTTCTTATAAGTAATATTTACATAGATATCTTTTTTCATCCTGTTGTTTTCATCTTAGCTGTGTTTTTGTATTTGAAGGGTGCTTCTTCTACACATTAGATAGGTGGGTCATATTTTCATTTGTGTTTCTGGAAATTCAGTCTCAGTATCTCACTGTCACTTAGAGTGTTTAGTTCACTTACGGTTTAATGGAATTTCTAACTTATGCCATTTGTGGTTTTTTCTTTTTTTTTTTTCTTCTTGAGACAGTCTTGCTCTGTCACCCAAGCTGCAATCTCTGCCTCCTGCAATCTCACTGCAATCTCTGACTCCCAGATTCAAGCAATTCTCCTGCCTCAGCCTTCCGAGTAGCTGGGATTACAGGTGTGTACCACTGTGCCTGGCTAATTTTTTTTTTTTTTTTTGTATTGTTAGTAGTGAGCCAGCATACCTGGCCTATTTCTATTTTGTTTTTTGTTCTTCCTTTCCTACCTTCTTTTGGATGAATAGAGTGATTCTTCCCATATCCTTTCATCTCTAGTGGCTTTTTGGCTGTATCTTTTTGCTCTATGTTTTTAGCTATATACGCTTTCTTTAGCAGTTGTTCTAGGGATTATGACACACACCCTAACTTTTCACAGTTTAACTGCAGTGCTTATGACACCACTTGGTTAATAAGGCAGCGAAAAGGAATGAAGCACAGACAGGGGCCATATGTGGGTGAGCCTGACACTTTATGCCAAGTCCAAGCAGCCAGTCACCAAGGGCCACATATTTCGTGATCCCATTTATATGAAATGCCCAGGTGGGAAAATCCAGACAGACAGGGAACAGATTACTGGTTACCTAGTGCTGGGGGTGGAAGGAAGAATTAGGAGGGGTGATAACTAAAAATAATGGAATTCCTTATTGGGGAAATGAAAACGTTCTAAAATTGATTGTGGTGATGGATGCACCGTTCTGTGAGTATACAAACAACCACTGATGTTGACATTTTATTTTTATTTATTTATTTGTTTAGAGACGGTCTCACTCAAGTGCCCAAGCTAGAGTGCAGGGGCATGATGTTGACTCACTGCAACCTACAACCTCCAGGTTCAAGTGATTCTTCTGCCTCAGCCACCCGAGTAGCTGAAATTATAGGCATGTGCCACCATACCTAATTTTTTTTGTTTTTTGAGGCAGAGTCTTGCTCTGGCACTGAGGCTGGAGTGCAGTGGCATGATCTCAGCTCACTGCAACCTCTGCCTTCCAGTTTCAAGCAATTCTCCTTCCTGAGCCTCCCATGTAGTGGCTGAGGCGCCCGACACCACTTTGGGCTACTTTTTTGTACTTTTAGAAGAGACGGGGTTTCGCCATTTTGGCCAAGTTGGGTCTTGAACTCCTGACTTCAGGTGATCTACCCACCTTGGCCTCACAAAATGCTGGAATTACAGGCCTGAGCCACTGCATCCGATTCCATAAGGTTAATATAAATTTACCTTTTAAGAAAGTGCCAAAATGTCTTTTGTAGTGGCCATGCTGTCTTATGTTCCCCCATCACGTGTGAAGGCTCCACTTCCACAAATCCCCACTTGATAATGATAGTGACATCTTTTTGTTTGTTTTTGGAGATAGAGTCTTATTCTGTCATCCAGGCTGGAGTGCAGTGGCGTAATCTCGACTCACTGCAATCTCTGCCTGCCAGATCAAGAAATTCTCCTGCCTCAGCCTCTTGAGTAGCTGGAATTCCAGATGCAGGTCACCATGTCTGGCTCATTTTTTTGTATTTTTAGTAGAGACAGGATTTTGCTATACTGCTCAGACTGGTCTCAAACTCCTGACCTTGTGATCCGCCCACCTTGGACTTCCAAAGTGCTGGGATTACAGGTGTGAGCCACCACATCTGGCTGTGACATCTTTTTATTGTTGAACCTTTTTCCATAACATGTGCAGTGTGGCTTTTTTTGCATTCAAAGTATTTCATTGAAAGATTTCTTCATATGGATTGTGTGCATATTTTTGCATGTTTATTTCTGAGAGTTGTTTTTTTGGGGTGTGCTGTTGCAAATGGGATGTTTTCTTTTTCTAACTGCTTTTTTTGTACAAAGGAAGACTGTCTGAGGCCAGGCTTGGTGGCTAAGGCCTGTAATCCTAGCACTTTGGGATACTGAGGCAGAAGGATTGCTTGAGCCCAGGAGTTTAAGACCAGCCTGGGAAGCATAGTAAGACCCCATCTCTTTTTTTTTTTTAAGGCAGGGTCTTGCTTCGTTGCCGAGGCTGGAGTACAGTAGTGCAGTTCCGGCTCACTGCAATCTCCATTTCCCAGGTGCAAGCAATTCTCATGCCTCAGCTTCCCAAGTACCTGGTATGACAGATGTGTTTCACCACACCAGGCTAAATTTTAAATTTTTTGTGGAGACATAGCCTTGCTTTGTTGTCTAGGCTGCAGTTCAGTGAACATTGTTAATGTGAATATTTATTGGTCTGTCTGCTGGAATCATTCCCTCTCCCATCTGTTTGTCTTTAAATTCTGGGCATGAACACACACTCCACCTGCACCCCCTAACTTCAAAATATTGATGTTGTCCAAAATGCCTTGAGAAGGGAGAACTGCTTTTCCTTCTTTGTATCTCTGCTGGTGTCCAGCCCACCACTGTGTTTTTGGTAAATACTTGACCCACAGAGTGTGGGAGGCAGGAGGGAAAGGCTTCTGCATTTCCTTCGTGGATCCAACATCATGGATCCACTAAGCATATTGGGAAACCAGCAGGTCAGGTGGCTGCACACTCTAGTTGCATCTGACTCTGAATTGCTCAGGGCCCCCTGCGTGACAGTGATTTGCTTTTCTTTGTGAGTTGTTTCTTCACTCATGTTCCTAGGCTGAGTTCCCCAAAACAGTAGATATCACAGCATCTGTAACAGTTGTGGGTGCATTTCTGATCTTGCATGACCTGATTTACAAGGTATTTTGAACAGGAGCTACCTATTATGGCTTAGGACATGGCTAAAGTGAACTTGACTTTCTTTCATAAAGTAACTGGTAAAATATGTGGCATAAGGCTATTACTGCAAAATCATAAGTGGTGGGGGATGATTGAGCTTGGGCAGCATTGGGAGGCAGACAGACCCACATCAGCACCATCCTGGGCATTTGTAGGTTATATGAGCTTGAAGGAGTCCCCTCAACTCTCTGAGCCTTTGTTTCTTCCCTCATTGAGGAGATCATCCATTCCTCATTGGACTATTGTAAGGCTTAAGATCAAACATCTTTCAAGGCACTTGGAGCTGTGCCTGGGCTCCGGGGTTTTTAGGCTCTAACCATAGCAAACACTCAAATCCCAGCCACCATCGTTTCTCTTCCCTCCAGTGTAAGAATGTGGAGGACCAACCTTCCCATTCCCATTTACCCTGGAGTTCTTTCTTCTATACTTCATCTAGCACCTGCTGTGCACCAGGGATTCATGGGTGGGGAGGCCACGGACAGCAAAGTCTGGTGTCTGGCCTTCAGCTTGTCTCAGTCCCTATGGCTGATACCTGGCCCTTTTCTCTGGAATCTGGACCCTACAATCTACCAAAGTCTCAGCCCAAAGAGGGCTCGAGGTCACCCCCTATTGGTGAGAATATTCCACACCTGCCCACCTCTCCCCATTGCCTGAGTTAGATGATCAGCCCCAACAATCCAGAGACATATTCTTGGATTCTGCTAGCTTTATTTTTCAGTTGAAAACTCAAGAAAAAGGTTATGTTTCAAAAGAAATTTTTAAAAACTTTGAATCCTGTAGCCTGGGGTCCCGAGTTCACAGGTGTCCCTACCAAAACAGAGGCCCTCCAAAGCATTCAGTCCCAGTGTGTCTACCCCAAAAAGAGCAGCTCTCTACCTGGGCTTCTGAAGAGCTATCAGTTGCCCTCAAAGAACCTCCTACCTCAGGAGACCCCTGGATCAGGCAGGGAAAGCCAGAACGAGGCAGCTGAGAACTTGGCTTCACATCCATTTCTGAACAGTCAGCGTTCTGAAGCAGTGACTTCCCACATGGCTGTTGAGTAAGTTAATAAATACCTTGAGCATGAATAGGAGCCGGTAGAGCTCTCTCTGCAGGGCTGGGACTCACTGGCCATGCTGTCTCTTGGTTTACAGTGGAGGTGTGGAGGAAGGGGGAGAATTACCCAGACCAGTGAAAGACTTTCATGCCCTCAGAAGTATTTTGAGCACAATGGCAAACAGCTCTTCTTCCCTTCATTTGAAGCACATGTGGTTCTGAATTTCCCAGCATTCCATGCTGGTTATTCTGTCCCAGCCAAGAATCTTGCCTTTGTCAAGGAGCTGAAATTAGAGTAGAAGGTGAAAAAGTTTAAAGTCTTTGGCAGCCTAGTTCTGGCTTAGATGAAATCTCAAACTGTAAAGAAGAGAGAAGTAAGGCCAGGCTATGAGCCCCAGAGGAGAGGGGCCCCTGCTCTTTCCTGAGATAAATTATGCTGGGGCCCCTATTACAGCCCCTGGCCCTCCTTATTAAAAAGACAACTCTCCATCTCCCTCTCCCCTTTCTGTAAGAGCAGCAGGCATGGGTTAATGAGTCCCTACACCTGCCAGGCCTTTGCAGGCAGTGGTGTTAGGCCCAGCCTGCTGAGTTCCTAGGAAATTGAACAAGCATCTATGAAGAGCTCACACCATGTCAGGCTCTGCTACTAGCACCCTGGAGATAGAAAACCAGTACATACTTCCCAGCCAAAAGGAGGGTGGAACCTTGGCACATGATGCATTGGGAGCTCGGGATGCATGCAACCCAAAGTGCAGGCTAAAGGGAACTCTCACTGTGTGGGTGGGATCTTCAGTACAGCTTGCAGTGGAGGCTGCTCTACTGTTTCCGCATCAAGTGTGGTGGTCAAGGGCACATATTGGGACACTCAGAACTACCAGGGTAAGGAAACTCCCTCATCTGCTAAAAGAACTGTTTATTTATTTATTTATTTTTTATTTTTTTGAGATGGACTTTCGCTCTTGTCACTCAGGCTGGAGTGCAATAGCATGATCTCAGCTCACCACAACCTCCACCTCCTGGGTTGAAGCAATTCTCCTGCCTCAGTCTCCTGAGTAGCAGGGATTACAGGTACGTACCACCATGCCCAGCTAATTTTTTGTATTTTTTAGTAGAGATGGGGTTTCACCATGTTGACCAGGATGGTCTCGATCTCTTGACCTCGTGATCCACCCGCCTCGGCCTCCCAAAGTGCTGGGATTACAGGCCTGAGCCACCGTGCCCAGCCTATTTCTTATTTTTTTAATTGCATTTTAGGTTTTGGGGTACATGTGCAGAACATGCAAGATAGTTGCATAGGTACACACGTGGCAGTGTGATTTGCTGCCTTCTTCCCCTTCACCCACATCTGAAATTTCTCCCCATGCTATCCCTCCCAAGTTCCCCCTGCTTTCCCTCCCCTATTCCCCCCAATAGACCCCAGTGTGTAGTGCTCCCCTCCCTGTGTCCATGTGTTCTCATTGTTCATAACCCGCCTATGAGTGGAAACATGTGGTATTTCATTTTCTGTTCTTTTGTCAGGTTGCTGAGAATAATGTTCTCCAGATTCACCAATGTCCCTACAAAGGACACAAACTCATCATTTTTGATTGAGCATAATATTCCATGATGTATATGTGCCACATTTTCCCACTCCAGTCTATCATCAATGGGCACCTGGGTTGATTCCAGCTCTTTGCTATTGTAAACAGTGCTGCAATGAACATTCGTGTGCATGTGTCCTTATAGTAGAACGATTTATAGTCCTTTGGATATATACCCAGTAATGGCATTGCTGGGTCAAATGGAATTTCTATTTCTAGGTCCTTGAGGAATGAACACACTGTCTTCCACAATGGTTGAACTAATGGAAACTCCCACCAGCAGTGTAAAGGTGTTTTTATTTCTCCACATCCTCTCCAGTATCTGCTGTCTCCAGATTTTTTAATGATTGCCATTCTACTGGTGTGAGAAGGTATCTCAATGTAGTTTTGATTTGTATTTCTCTAATGACCAGTGATGATGAGCATTTTTCATATGTTTGTTGGCCTCATGTATGTCTTCTTTTGTAAAGTGTCTGTTCATATCCTTTGCCCATTTTTGAATGGGCTTGTTTGATTTTTTCTTGTAAATCTGTTTTAGTTCTTTGTAAACTCTGGATATCAGGCCTTTGTCAGATGGGTAAACTGCAAAAATTTTTTCCCATTCTGTTGCTTGCTGATTCACTCTAATGACTGTTTCTTGTGCCGTGCAGAAGCTGTGGAGTTCGATTAGGTCCCATTTGTCTATTTTGGCTTTTGTTGCCAATGCTTTTGGTGTTTTGGTCATAAAGTCCTTGCCTACTCCTATGTCCTGAATGCCTTGCCTAGATTTTCTTCTAAAGTTTTTATGGTGCCAGGTCTTACGTTTAAGTCTTTAATCCATCTGGAGTTAATTTTAGTGTAAGGTGTCAGAAAGGGGTCCAGTTTCTGCTTTCTGCACATGGCTAGCCAGTTTTCCCAATACCATTTATTAAACAGGGAATCCTTTCCCCATTGCTTGTTTTTGTCAGGTTTATCAAAGATTGTATGGTAGTAGATATGTTGTGTTGCCTCCGATGCCTCTGTTCTGTTTCATTGGTCTGTATCTCTGTTTTGATACCAGTACAATACTGTTTTGATTACTGTAGCCTTGTAGTACAGATTGAAGTCCAGTACTGTGATGCCACTTGCTGTGTTGTTTTTGCTTAGAATTGACTTGGCTATGTGGCTCTTTTTTGGTTCCATATGAAGTTTAAGGTGGTTTTTTCCAGGGTCTATGAAGAAGGTCATTGGTAGCTTGATGGGGATAGTGTTGAGTCTGTAAATTACTTTGGGCAGTATGGCCATTTTCAAGATATTGATTCTTCCTAACCATGAACATGGAATATTTCTCCATCTGTTTGTGTCCTCTCTTATTTCATTGAGCAGTGGTTTGTAGTTCTCCTTGAAGAGGTCCTTTACATTTTTTTTAGTTGTATTTCTAGGTATTTTATTCTCTTTGTAGCAATTGTGAATGGCAGTTCATTCTTGACTTGGTTCTCTTTCAGTCTGTTATTGGTGTATAGGAATGCTTGTGATTTTTGCACATTGATTTTGTATCCTGAGACTTTGCTGAAGTTGCTTACCAGTTTCAGGAGTTTTTGGGCTGAGACGATGGGGTCTTCTAGATATACTATCATGTCGTCTTCAATTAGAGACAATTTGGCTTCCTCCTTTCCTATTTGAATACCCTTCATTTCTTTTTCTTGCGTGATTGCTCTGGCTAGAACTTCCAGTACGATATTGAATAGGAGTGGTGAAAGAGGGCATCCTTATCTAGTGCCAGATTTCAAAAAGAACGCTTCCAGTTTTTGCCCATTCAGTATGATATTGGCTGTTGGTTTGTCATAAATAGCTTTTATTATTTTGAGATACTTTTCATCAATACTGAGTTTATTGAGAGTTTTTGGCATAAAGGGCTGTTGAATTTTGTCAAAGGCCTTCTCTGCATCAACTGAGATAATCAGGTAGTTTTTGTCTTTGGTTCTGTTTAAGTGGTGAATTACATTTATAGACTTGCATATGTTGAACCAGGCTTGCATCTCCGGGATGAATCCTACTTGGTCATGGTGGATAAGCTTTATGATGTGCTGTTGCAATCATCTTGCCAGTACTTTATTGAAGATTTTTGCATCTATGTTCATCATGGATATTGGCCTGAAGTTTTCTTTTCTTATTGAATCTCTGCTAAGTTTTTGTATCAGAATGATGTTGATTTCATACAATGACTTGGGAAGGATTCCCTCTTTTTGAATAACTTGGAATAGTTTCAAAAATAATGGTAACAGTTCCTCTTTGTGTGTCTGGTAGAATTCGGCTGTGAACCCATCTGGACCTCGGCTTTTTCTGAGTGGTAGGCTCTTAATTGCTGCCTCAACTTCAGACCCTGTTATTGGTCTATTCATAGTTTCGGCTTCCTCCTGGTTTAGGCTTGAAAAAACACAAGTGTCCAGGAATGTATCCATTTCATCCAGGTTTACTAGTTTATGTGTATAGAGTTGTTTGTAATATTCTCTGATGATGGTTTGAATTTCTGTGGAATCTGTGGTGATTTCCCCTTTATCATTTTTTATTGCATCTATTTGTTTTTTTTTTTAATCAATCTGGCTTGTGGTCTGTCTATTTTGTTGATCTCTTCAAAAAACCAGCTCTTGAATTATTGATTTTTTAAAAAAATTTTTATTGCATTTTAGGTTTTGGGGTACATGTGCAGAACATGCAAGACAGTTGCATAGGTACATACATGGCAGTGTGTTTTGCTTCCTTTCTCCCCTTCACCCACATTTGGCATTTCTCCCCAGGCTATACCTCTCCACCTCCCCCTCCTGCTGGCCATCCCCTTATCCCCCCAATAGACCCCAGTGTTTAATACTCCCCTCCCTGTGTCCATGTGTTCTCATTTTTCATCAACCACCTATGAGTGAGAATATGCGGTGTTTCATTTTCTGTTCTTGTGTCAGTTTGCTGAGAATGATGTTCTCCAGATTCATCCATGTCCCTACAAACGGCACAAACTCATCATTTCTAATTGCTGCATAATATTCCATAGTGTATATGTGCCACATTTTCCCAATCCAGTCTGTCATTGATGGGCATCTGGGTTGATTCCAGGTCTTTGCTATTGTAAACAGTGCTGCAATGAACATTTGTGTACATGTGTCCTTATAGTAGAACGATTTATAGTCCTTTGAATATATACCCAGTAATGGGATTGCTGGGTCAAATGGAATTTCTATTTCTAAGGCCTTGAGGAATCGCCACACTGTCTTCCACAATGGTTGAACTAATTTACTCTCCCATCAACAGTGTAAAAGTGTTCCTTTTTCTCCACATCCTCTCCAGCATCTGTTGTCTCCAGATTTTTTATTGATCACCATTCTAACTGGCGTGAGATGGTATCTCAATGTGGTTTTGATTTGCATCTCTCTAATGACCAGTGATGATGAGCATTTTTTCATATGCTTGTTGGCCTCATATATGTCTTCTTTCATAAAGTGTCTGTTCATATCCTTTGCCCAGTTTTGAATGGGGTTGTTTGTTTTTTTTCTGTAAATCTGTTTGAGTTCTTTGTAAATTCTGGATATCAGCCCTTTGTCAGATGGGAAACTGGAAACATTTTTTCCCATTCTGTTGGTTGCCGATTCACTCTAGTGACTGTTTCTTTTGCCGTGCAGAAGCTGTGGAGTTTGATTAGGTCCCATTTGTCTATTTTGGCTTTTGTTGCCAATGCTTTTGGTGTTTTGTTTTGTACATGAAGTCCTTGCCTACTCCTATGTCTTGGATGGTTTTGCCTAGATTTTCCTCTAGGGTTTTTATGCTGCCAGGTCTTAGGTTTAAGTCTTTAATCCATCTGGAGTTAATTTTAGTGTAAGGTGTCAGGAAGGGGTCCAGTTTCTGCTTTTTGCACATGGCTAGCCAGTTTTCCCAACACCATTTGTTGAACAGGGAATCCTTTCCCCATTGCTTGTTTTTGTCAGGTTTATCAAAGATTGTATGGTTGTAGATATGTTGTGTTGCCTCCAATGCCTCTGTTCTGTTCCATTGGTCTATATCTCTGTTTTGGGACCAGTACCATACTGTTTTGATTACTGTAGCCTTGTAGTATAGTTTGAAATCCAGTAGTGTGATGCCCCCCGCTATGTTCTTTTTGCTTAGAATTGACTTGGCTATGTGGGCTCTCTTTTGGTTCCATATGAAGTTCATGGTGGTTTTTTTCAGTTCTGTGAAGAAAGTCAGTGGTAGCTTGATGGGTATAGCATTGATTCTGTAAATTACTTTGGGCAGTATAGCCATTTTTATGATATTAATTTTTCCTAACCATGAACATGGGATGTTTCTCCATCTGTTTGTGTCCTCTCTGATTTTGTTGAGCAGTGGTTTGTAGTTTTCCTTGAAGAGGTCCCTTACGTTCCTTCTGAGTTGTATTCCAAGGTATTTTATTCTTTTTGTAGCAATTGTGAATGGCAGTTTGTTCTTGATTTGGCTTTCTTTAAGTCTGTTATTGGTGTAGAGGAAGGCTTGTGATTTTTGCACAATGATTTTATATCCTGAGACTTAGCTGAAGTTGCTTATCAGTTTCAGGAGTTTTTGGGCTGAGGCGATGGGGTCTTCTAGGTATACTATCATGTCATCTGCAAATAGAGACAATTTGGCTTCCACCTTTCCAATTTGAATACCCTTTATTTCTTTTTCTTGCCTGATTGCTGTGGCTAGAACTTCCAGTACTATATTAAATAGGAGTGGTGAAAGAGGGCATCCTTGTCTAGTGCCGGATTTCAAAGGGAATGCTTCCAGTTTTTGCCCATTAAGTATGATATTGGCTGTTGGTTTGTCATAAATAGCTTTTATTACTTTGAGATACGTTCCATTGATACCCAGTTTATTGAGGGTTTTTAGCATAAAGGGCTGTTGAATTTTGTCAAATGCCTTCTCTGCATCAATTGAGATAATCATATGGTTTTTGTTTTTGGTTCTGTTTATGTGGTGAATTATGTTTATAGATTTGCATATGTTGAACCAGCCTTGCATCCCCGGGATGAATCCTACTTGATCATCATGGATAAGTTTTTTGATTTGCTGTTGCAATCGGCTTGCCAATATTTTATTGAAGATTTTTGCATCTATGTTCATCATGGATATTGGCCTGAAGTTTTCTTTTCTCATTGGGTCTCTGCCGGGTTTTGGTATCAGGATGATATTGGTCTCATAGAATGATTTGGGAAGGATTCCTTCTTTTTGGATTATTTGGAATAGTTTCAGAAGGAATGGTACCAGCTCCTCTTTGTGTGTCTGGTAGAATTTGGCTGTGAACCCATCTGGACCTGGGCTTTTTTTGTGTGGTAGGCTCTTAATTGCTGCCTCGACTTCTGCCCTTGTTATTGGTCTATTCATAGTTTCAGCTTCCTCCTGGTTTAGG